AGCAAGGTGGGGGACGACTGAACAGTTTGCCTCCTTCTTGCCTCTAATACAAAAGGAGCAAGGAAGCCCAGCAGCAGCGAGCAACGGCCAAAGGGGATCGTCGACGATATATCTCGCCAACGATACACCCACGCCGAAAACAGAACGAAACAGAGCCAACTGTCCTAGAGGAGGCTCCTCAAGTGTATTAGCCAGCTCATCGATAGCGGCATCTGCAGTCGGTTCAGTGGAAGTAGGATGGGATGGGGAAGATACCGGTGGTGGCACGGGGTTGGGAGCTCCGGTAGCGGCACTGGAAGAGGGGAGGCTCATAGTAGATCGAGTTTGACTCGGACAACGATGAAAAGATGCTGGAAAAACAACGGGAAACGAACTTATAAACGAAAAAAGTCGAGTCACGTGGAAAGCACCTGACGACAACAGCAACCTCCTCGGAGGCTCGGAGGAGTAGAGGGGGGGTAATGTCATGCCTCGCCCCAAATTCCATATCCCATAAGCTCCTTGACGTAGTTCCCAACCTCCTCAGCCCCCCTTACCTCCTCAACCACTTCTGAACCCCTGAGAACACCCCCAACGCCGCAAACCTCCTCACGGCCAGGACAACCTCCACTAATCTTAGTTCCCCTCAATGCAACCGAACCACTCCACGACAGGGTCCTGGAACCCGCACATGCGCCCATCATTCCGTCCTCCTGTCCGTCCTGATGTACTTAGAAACCCCATTAAGTGCCCGTTTCGTACTATGTCTCTTTGTTAACTTCCCTATACGTATTTAAGCAGTCCAGTAGCGTCCAGAAGCCCAGCTTGGTATATTTTGAACACACACCCTTTACATAGGTCCAGTCCCTGTCCCTTTGTACCTGCTACCTATACGGAATTCTCTCTACTCTCTGTCTCTCTACTTCTGTTTCTCTCTACTACTGTCTATCGTCTCTCTGATCGTCTATACGATCGAATATACGCTTTTACTTCAAGTCTAAGCCTTCCGAGTGAGTCTCCGAGCTCCCTCGAACATTACTAAAGCTCCCCAACGCCTACCCGCTTGGTGAGCTACCCTTCCCCAAAACCTCCGAGCTCCCTAGCTACTTCGTAAGCTCGGGACTCAGTCTAGGTAACGTCGAAGCGACCCCTCACGTCGAACTACGTATTGCTTCTCCGTTACCACCTCCCACACTCGAGGACGACCATCCTCAACCCCAGCCCCCAGGGACCTACCCTCCCTGGCGTATCCCTTCTCGGGAGCTTACACCCTCGAGCCCCAGTTGCATAAACTACCTACTCGATCCTATATTGACGTTCTAGCGAGTACAACTCCTACTACGCAATATCGTACGGTCCCGCACTCTTCCTGAACCTCCCTACGCATTAGGGACCTCCCTGGACCTCCTAGGAACCCCACAAGGGTCACCATCTCGTCGTTCCAACCACTACTAGGTCATTCCCGTCCTCGGTCGCGGTTCTCGTAGCTCCCTTCGAGCTCCAGCCTGCTCCTAGCACGCTACAACATAAACCTTCGCATACCAAAACCTACCCTAAGACCCATTTTGACCCAGGTCTTACAATGCCACCTCAGTTGCCATCCAGCATTCCTCCTGAGCTTTGTTATGCCTCAAAATTCTGGTTGAGGCATGCAATAGAGGGACTGCCTACCAAACCCAAGGAGCTTGATGCTGTGATTATAGAACTACTTGAATCCTGTGATATATCCTGGGTGTACATTCTAAACACACTTCAGTGTACAAATATCGCAGTTGAAGGAATCAAGCAGCTCACATCATATTATGCATGTGCTTCAGAAAATATCAAGGACTCTTTTATGGACAAGCTGGAACACTACAAAATGCGAATGAACCAGTTTCTCACAATTTTTGGAGACAATGAGTTCCAGAGCTCTGAAAATATAATTTCCACAAACTTCACCAAGTCCACACCACCCACACACAGTGGACATGTACTACACATTACACCTATTCCAACCAAATTCCTGCATCCTATACTGAGCAGAATGATTGCCCTTATCTCATATCCTTGCCATTAGAGGGTTCTAGTGAGAAGCATCTCCAGCGGCTTTGCATTGAAGTCAAGTGCCATGACCAAGGCAAAAGGTTTACATGTATGTAATTAATTATCTACAAGGATTTACTATTCCAATTTATGGATTTAGCAGCTAGCAAGGAAGATGGGACATGGACATGGATTGAGCTTGCTATTTTACGAGAGAACAACGAGGGAAAACAAACAGAAGTTGATTTACAGGAGGCTTTTGGAGAGCAGTCAAGTGGTTTCATGGTTGAAAACACCCGATATAAAATCATCCACTTGCCATTGTCTAATTCGGTTCCTCAGATTTATTGTATCAACCTGCATTGGCCAGATCTCTTTGTCAAAGTCGGTGTCTTCCTGTTAACTACCATGACACAATTGCTGAGTAACATATTTTCTCTCAGGAAGCACGAGGGGGTGATGTGATTGCTCTCCACCCTAAGGCTAGGTGAATTCTTAGTGAGTCTGGATTAGACCTTGGTTATGCTAAAGCTTTGCACTAGGTTTCCGGGATGGACAAATTACATATGTGCAACTGAAATGCATATCGTACCTGAGCCTGAAGATAGTTGAAGACTAGGAACAATTTATATCCTCGAAGTTAAATGTACACTGGTTGGATGATTGTGTGCTTATGGCAGAGGAAGGAAATCCCTCTGGTGAGTATTGATAGGGGGGTGCTTTCCAATTCTGAAACTGCCGCTGCTGCGAACACTGTCCCATGATGTCATGACGAGGCCTTGTTGCGTACCTTCACAAGATGGCCCATTCAAACATCGCCATACGTGACTGAGGCTCCGCGTCCATGCAGACTTCCGTACCTTCCCATACGATTCCGTAAGTTACCGCCGCCGAACAGCTTGAAGTTGGCTGGAACGAGTCATTTATGCCCTCCATAACCTATCGAATTGCACGCGGACCCATGATTACTTATAAATTCAATGAGGAAAGCGAATCAGTTTCTGCGACTTTTTGACCCACCTTGTGTTCTTTTGCTGGTCAAAAGAAATTATCCCTCGCCGTATCTGATTTCTGCTTTCGACAAGTCCAGTCCCCCTTCGTTCTACTAAACACGAATTCACAGCTACCTCAGGCTTTCCGAGAAACTGAAAATCCCCTACCATGCGTGTTGTTACTATCTGGACTGTTCTTGCATTATGTGTTGTCGCGACTGTATATGCTGCACCTGTGAGTTATTGTAACCTAGTAGTAGTGACGAAATGAAAATTTGACGTATGCACCCCAACTAGGTTAATGAAACCCACCTCCAAGTGCCACAACGTCCGAGCTTGTCTCAAGCAAACTCAACCGGATCCACGATATCCTTTTCTTCCATCGGCTCCGGAGAATCCGATATATCGAGCAAGCGTGTTCAGGTACAAGTCAATGATGGAACAGAGAGTTATTCGGATGAAGTCTATGTACAAATCACAGTCGTCGTTAAAGCTGTAGCGAAGGCGTGGGGCGAGAAGGATTCTTTTGATCTGACAGTCGAATTCTACAAGCCTGCGAAGAAATCCGTCGAACGGCCCAGTTTCCCAATCGCTTTCCATCTCATTGGGGATATGACGGACTGTGAACCTGCAACAAACCTCAAATTTCCTTGTGTCGGCCAACTCGATAGTATGAATCCCCCGAAGGGTGTCGTCATGTCCCTCATTACGATGAAGAATTACGATACGCAAGAGCTGGTACGTGACTGTCGATGTTACAGAGGCTGATCCATATGCTCATCAACGGGTAGGACAAGATGAGGAAACGGCAAGGACAATAGCGTCCGGATGACAAAACCTACTATCTTTCGCGCGTATATTACTATATCGTTGTAAATCTAGTTGGAAGAGTTCCAGGTCAACGCGCGGATAGGAAGAAAGCAACACTCACTAAGCTCCAAAACCGTATAATGTACGACCTGATCGCTTCAAAGCATGTACAACATCCAGAGCAGACACGGTTTTACTTGTGATTTCTCGTCATCCAAAACATATTCACTGATGTGTATGCCTAGAGGAGCTTACCGATCTTCGTTTTCGGTATAAGCGACGGTATCACGGAGAACATCATCCATAAAGATCTTGAGGGCACCACGAGTCTCTTCGTAGATACGTCCAGAATTGCGCTTAACGCCTCCACGACGGGCGAGACGGCGGATAGTAGGTCTGTTGATTACTGGAGGATCAATGTCAATCATAGCGCATTGGATTCATTGGAAAATGCTACACACCAGTGATGCTGTGGCGAGAAATTTTACGGTGACGCTGAGTACCGCCCTGTCCGAGACCCTACAGAAGAGCTATTAACAAAATGGCATCGTACCGAGTGGGGGTTTCACCTTTCCACCTTTTCCACCTTTTCCACCTTTTCCACCTTGTACATGTTCAGACATGTCGATAGAGTATTGAGGTACGTAGTAAAGTTGAACTTAGAGGGTGGGTCGTGGTTGTGGTTGGAGAAAAAGAGTGGAGTGGTAATTTAGTTCAGAAAGGGCGCTCATGATAGATCGATCAGGTTTTATCAGTCCCACTATGTACAGCATACTACTTCCCACTACCGCTCATAATTTCTAGAATATTTATGATAGGACCATGTCAGCCCATCGTGCAATTTCCCTCAAAGCAAAGTTCCTCTCCGACTCTATAATTCGAATCCAGGAAAATCATGCGGAGCGTTAGCGACTTCAAGATACGTTACCCTATCACCCATATCAACCCTCGTGCGTTCCCATAGAACTCATGGAATCCCGTCACATTTCAGCCTCTCTCGCAAGGATGAAAGTCGGGGGACCGCAAAGAACGTACTTTTGAGTTCTACATCAGGAATATTCAAGGAACTTGGAGAGAACTATGGTGTATGAGGCAACAGGAGGCACGCGGCATCCAGCCAGCTTCGACTGTGGTCTGAATTTCTGTCTGTTACCATATGCATACTAGTCCCTAGATCCTACTTCAGAGCGGCACCAGGACAAGGAAGTAATGGGATATTGTGAATCGCGGTGTCCCGTTACGAGCTAGTATGCGATGATAGCGCCGGCTAATTCACCTCCATTCTGGTTCAAACCCAAGAATCGAGGAGATATCGGTATCCTACAAGAGCGTCGATTGATGTGGCAGGGAAAAGATTCCCAAGTGGAAAAGGTGGTCCAACAGCGAAACGCTATTCCAATGCAAATAGAAATAGCCGGCTGAATATCGGAATGCATTCCAACAGTCCTTTGCAGATGGCTGCAGGTACGCTGAAGGAAGGGGTTGCGTCCTGCTGCGTCTCCCGTTTGACACAAGAATTGTATCAATACCCTTCTGCGTTAGGACGCAATAGAATCAATTTATGTACCGCAAATCCTCCGCCTGAGATAAGGTTTGAATGGAATGAGATTCATGTACATTATACGTAGTCGAGAGATAAATGAGCAGTACAGTGAGTGAAAATAATGAAAGTAGTATTATCGTTTGTAAAGAATTCGGGCCAGTGTGAATTCAATGTAGCGGTCGCTCCGATCTCGCATTTCGAAAGCCACTTCGAAAGTATCATGCGCGCGAGTTCAGTGAACTGACGCGCTTCAGCTGGAAGGGTTTGAGGTCAAGGATGATTCAGACCACTGATTTGGCCCGGGCCGGAGTCGGACAATCGTCTTTACTTTCCACTGACCACAATCAACTTGGTTTTATTTACGGCGCGTCTCGTTGTCTTATTCAGGTAATTTCGAGGATGCGGCGACATAAACGACGCGAATAATGGCGATTTTAGGAAACAGACGCTGTGACGCAGTGAGGAAACTCGTGCGATGGTGCAAGGTTGATAGCGATCCGGGGTAAGCTGGGAAGATTGAGGAAGATTGAAGACTGCCAATAAGTACGAGGTAAGTCATGTTCAGGTTTCTTCTCCGCTGAAGAGCGATGTCAAACAATGACCAACACTATTCGATTTGCAGTACGCTCAACGATGATGCTCGAGATTATACGAACTGCTCATGTGTGACTATAGGCAAAATTCGTACTTTCTCTCTCATCTTCTTTCCGTTAGTGAATCGGTATGGACTCGCGCCCTGCTCAGCCGAACAAGGCTTACAGACCCGATTTTCCAAGAAGATCTGCTGGCATTTATCAGTGAGCTGAATCGTTTCATGGCTGTTTGCATTGTATCCCAATCATATACCTGTGTTTTTTTCCTTGTCAGGTGTGATGGCTACCTCGCTTCGTACAGGCTTACCTGCGACAGGCTCGCATGGCTTGAATGTCATACAGAAAGAAGCCAGAAAGAAAGAAGCAAGAAGAAGACTATAGGATCTTTATCCCGAGTAAATCATTCAACAGGGTTGAGACAGCGGGATCGCTATCATTCGCTATCATTCCCAATCCGCCAAGGGATTCAGAATTTCCTCGCCTGTTATCTAGGAATGTGGACTCATTACGGGGGCCTAGGCCGGAATATCTTACATTGGATGGAGGCTTAGAGGGTGCCGGTTAGGTTTCAAATCAAAATCAAACGACAAGACATGATGTATGTTCCATTCAGTACCGAAAACTCGTCTCACTGACTTGAGATACAAGTGTTTCGTAGTCAGGAAAACTCAACCCTTCCCGCGATTATTTTCTTGGCGTCCCTTGACCAAGCTACCTGGAGTTCTTCCTCCTGCCGTCTGTACATCAGTATAAAAGTCCCCCGACGATCAATGTCCAGTTCCACAATTTGCCTGGTGCAAACACATACTCCCTCTTATTCGAGCTGGTCTCTGATTTCTAATCCTCTTCTTACCATAACAAACCTTCCGATGTCTCCTTCCTTCGTACCTTCCAAACTCCAGACTATTGCAGCTGTCGTGCTTATCCTTTCATCCTCGTTCTTTGGGGTTAACGCAGTTCCAATCGACGTATCTTCTGCGTCGACTTCAGACACGCCATCGCGACACAGTCATGTGGACTCAAGCGCGACGAATTCGAGCTCGCCATCGCGGCACAGTCATATGGATGCGCATGAGAACGTGAAGCGGGCTGATTTTCTTTTAGGGTATGCCTATGTTAACACGGTGAGCTATACTCTCACATCGAATGAGGTTGCGTTTCTCATTGTTGGGAGTCGCTTCATGCTGGATTTCTTTTTGTAGGATGTCGGCACAGATTTCAACGCAGCTACCCAATTCACACGCTGTTCATTTTGAAGAGGGACCTTTAGGCAATGTCGGAGAATATCTTAGTCCACGACCTTCGAGATCACATGAACTGAAATCTGGACATACGATGGAGGTAATACCTCCTAGTCCCCTCACAACGAAGATTTTCAATTTGCTGATTATTCATCTTTCAATTGACAGTGTGTGGCATTTGCGAGAAGGAATCGGTGATGAAATATGGACCGGTAAGTATTCGTCGTTTCGATCCACGATGATTTGATTGTTCCTACTACACATCATTAAACTGGATGTTATATAGATATTCGTCGAAGCCAATGCTGTCAATGATCAACAGAAGCTTGAGAAATATCTCGCCGACAAGAAGTTCAGTCCCAAATCCTCAGTCTTGATTGCCCACACCGTAGAGGCTGACGAAAGGAGAGCTGATCATGTATATCCCGGGACTTTTATATCAACATTGGGATATGACCCTGCACGTCCCGCGCCTGCTGTTGACTCACTCGGCTTTATGTGAATTGTCGACCTGTGAAAGTGAGTTGGGATGATTTGTGTCGTCTTAGAATCTTAGACTGACTGTATTCTTTTTTTCTTCTGATCAAGTGATGCTTTACCAGCCTTATAAGAAAATTTCTCAATGGGAGGAGCTTCAGCCTCGATTATGGGTAAACGGGATGACTACCATGAGTACGTTGAAGTACCCGGCACATTAGGGAGGTAGATTCAAGTTATTGTTGTCGAGTAGGAGGATAGCTAATTCACGCCGTGGCCTTGTTGTCGAGACTAAAATCTTCTTGTGTGATCAATGAGTTTTTCGTCAATCTTCACTGTTCCTTTTGTTGACCTTCGAGTTGTACTCTATATGATTGTTACGTAGTCGTCATTCACGCTCTAGTTGCGTCCACCATCAACACTAGTCCCTGAGATCGTTCACCTCTGTCCATCCATCCTTTCACCTCCTCGAAGTTACTCGAAGTAGAAGGCCGAAGGTCTGACGTCCAGCACTAGGGGAACAACAGTATCGGATCCGAATCACATCCATCATCCGATTAAATCCAATGCATAATAATTGCTCCAGGCTACGAGCAGCTACTAGTACACTCAATTCAGTACCCCCCTAAGAACCTCCATTCAGTGCCCGCCGGGTACTTCAATGTACTCAAAGTAGTCAACCCCTTCGGCCAAAGCCGAGGCTGAGTTCTTCCATGCTGCAAACCGCTCTAAACGGCTGGTGGGGCCATCACTAAGTAGCAAATACCAAAAAAACGTCAGCAATAGTCTATAAATTCCATCGAAACGTCCGGAGGACTGTGTTGTGCTTACTTTGCACAGGGCGGCAATACACGTAGGTGCTGAGGTAGTTGAGCGCAGGCCGGGGGTGAGTGGGGTGTATATTGAGGTGGAGATGAAGATCCCCGGAGGAAGATCATTAGTTCTTCCTTTGCGCTCGGTATCTGGGTGTGGGCATGAGGATGGAGGAACGGGTGGTGAATTGTGCTCGGTGAGGGTATTTTTCGAGGGTTTGTTGATTTTTGAGGGCTTCGGCATCGACGAATACCTAGTTTGACAACGAATGATAACATGTCAGCGCAGAGTCGTTGTGGGGCTGGCAGTTGGAGAGAGAGAGAGAGGAATAATGTTTCAAACTCACCGGTCCATATTTCATGACCAAATCCTTCTTCGCCGTTGCGATACACTGTTTTGAAAGTGATGTTATTATCATCATCCATCATCATCAGAGAAGCGGGTTAAGTTCTTTACCTCCATCGTAGCTCCGGGTATCAATTCATGTACCTGTGCAGGTCTTGGACTAAGATATTTCCCAACGCTGCCTAATGGGCCCTCTTCGAAATGATGAGCGGGCGGTGAACTGAGTGGCGGTGTTGTAGTCTGTGCCGATCTCCTGCAAAGGTTCATTCATTCATGTGTTATAAGGGGTAGGACCAAATTATGGGACCAGTGAACGGATGGGAGAATATCAGAATCAAGAAGAACCATGATGGATGGATGGATGGATGAGTGATGAGCGACTGCAGATGAAGGCATAAGGATTTTTTCTCACCGTATTCACGTAAGTGTACCCTAGAAGAAAATTTGCCTGTTTCGCGTTCTCGGGTGTGAACATACGGCTCCCCAGAGACTTGGTGCTCGAAGAATTCGTCGTGGGTAGGTCGATTGGGAGGGCGTTGGTTCCGAAGAATGATGTTAGAAATGAGGGGAACGGGAAAAAGATAGCATAAAGAGGAAGAGGAGGAAGGTTGTAGCTTGAGTCATTTGGAACAAAGGTTGGAAAATGGATTTTTTTGTACGGGAGGAAGGGATAGAGTTAGAGACCAGCTCGAGTACTCAGTATACTATTGATAGGAGGGTGAGTTGCGCCAGGCAGTTGGGAAAAACAAAGTGACCTCGTCCATGGCCTTTTATACTACAAGTACATACATATATACAGTCGTAATCAGAAAGCTCAAGGAAGGGGGACCAGGGAGGGGGCTGGAGGGGAGCTGAGTGAGTTCGGTTCTGTTCTGTCATTGTATTGCTATTGCTGAGACGAGTAAGTTCTCGTTGATTGATATCCGAAGATCGTCACGGTCAGTTTGATTTTGAATTTTCAGGAGGATTACTACTACAACATATATCTCTTCAACTTTGAGCCCCCCTCTCCCCGGAGCTTTATATATGTACATACCGCCTTACTATACGGCTTGATAGTAACCCCGCGATGCGGCAAGGGAGCGAAAAGGAACATACACGGCACAGAACATTTGCAGTACCATATGCAGTGACATGTGCAGTAGTCCTGCAGTGACATATGCAGTGACATGCAGTAGCACTGCAGTTACTCAAATATATGTAAATAGATGATCCTCCACTGTACAAAATATATCCCATTCTATAAATGCTTTGTATGACAATAACAGGGAGTATAATGGCCTGTAGGGGCTGAATGGATATGTGAATATTTGATTGAAATTGGATAGTGATCTCATTATTCTGTCAAGTCTGATGCCAGGTTTCTTGGCATTGATTCTCAATGCAGGCTTTCTGTATCTTGTATCATTAATTTCAGCTTTGTAAGTAATATCCTCTTGTACTACAATATGATACCAGCTGGTGTTCACAAACTGGTATAATTCCAAATTCCACCATCAATAATTTGGGTGGATTTTGAAAGCAGTGGATAAATGATGACAATTTGGCCAAGGAGAACTCCAAAAGCAAAAAAGTATAACAATACACATACTGTCCTCTAGAATTTTCCAATCAAAGTATTTCTTATATCAAGTATCTCCTACAGTTTAAGTTGTTTTTGTAAGTCTTGACCAGTGTTTATACATGGCCCTGTGACTCTTGGTTAGGTTCTTCAACCTAAATCTGGCAATACCATGAGATTGCAAGAATATTTCCATCATGCCTTTTATATGATGTTCAGAACCATTGGCCAAAATCAGCAATGTAACTTCCTCCCCTTCATAATCTTAACTATCCACAAATGACCCAGAATAAACTCCACATGTGCCAACAGTGCTTAATTTGTGAGAATTAGGGGGATAGTAGCTTCACAATATTGGTGGCTCAATATTTTCCAAAGGCCGTATTCAAAATACTGTAGTGCATAGAGACACTCAGAGCCTTGTGATTGAATGCAGGATTTCAGTCCCAATAATTTCAATGCAAAGGTACAGAGCCTATTGCCCAGTGAGACTGCAAGTAAGTGCAGGAACAATGCAGGTGAATGCAGTAACAGTAGGTAAGGTGCAGGCTGATGCAGTCACAGTGCAGGTAAGGTGCAGATGTGTGCAGTTACAGTGCAGATGAGGTGCAGGTGTGCAGTTACAGTGCAGTTGCATGCAGTCACAATGCAGATGTGTGCAGTTACAGTCCAGGCAAATGCATTCAAAAGGTAGGAGCATGCAGATGCATCTGTACATCCTAGATTTCTGTCTAAGAGACTGACTGCACTTCCCAGCACTGAAGTGGTTTCTAGAAATTGCTTTCAGTGCTTTGGCCAGACAGTGCTTGTTAGGGAAGTACTTCGTGCATAGGACCAGCGGACAGTTACATAAATGGTGTTATTATCTTATGCTGTGCAGTAGCAGATACATCATGCCAACAGCAATGTCGAGTCCCTTAGTTGCTTCAACACAGGTTTTGCAGATAATATGAATGGGTGAGTACAGTGAAGTGCTTGTGACATACATAACTAAGCATATAGGATTTACATACATCTGTAAACCAAGCAATATATCAACTCAATGTGCATAGACGTATCCTGAAATAGTTGAACATGCAGCAAAAATGAATTCAAAATAGCATAACATAATTAGACAAAATACATATAAATGCCGGCATTTATATGCCATAAGTGTGATGCAGGTGCATGCAGATACCATGCAGTGACTGTCACTGCAGGTGATACTGCAAATGCTAGTGGCCCAACATACACTGGACCTAGTATTAAGGCTCACTCTGGATTCTACATAGGATAGTACCTGATAGTAATATGTACAATGCATACTGAACATTGAATGATAACCGTCCCGCTATTAGCCCGCAGTATCGCTGTTGCGAGTTATAATTAGGAGTATGTAGTACATACACAGCAGGTGGGTGGGCAAAAATACCGTAAAACATCCATTAAATAAGTAATCCACTCGGGCAAGTATTTTGTACATTTCGAGCAAGCAGGATTTGTTTTTCGGCTAGGATTTAGATTTAGTGGAAGCTCATTGAGTAGAAGCTCAACGGAGTCAAACTGGTGGGGGTTGGTTTCCGACTCAATTTAGCCAAAAATCCAGCTTTTGGAGATGCTGTTACGGTGAGCCACTGGGGACCGATATGGAGTAGTATTATTATTGAGTGGGATCAAGAGGTAACGAGTGGACGGACGGCTCGTGAATAAGGCCTCCGTGACGCACTGTTATTCCAAATGACCTCCTCCCGAACACTATCCCGATCTCTTCACCCGTATAAAGAACTTGAAGTTGAACCACAGACACCGGAAATGGGTATGGAATGAATGCGTTGAAGGCTTGAGGTTGATGCATGATCGGTTACCCAGATAGTCTAGAACCGGTTTGCACTGGAACTGAATGCGAATCGAAAGTCGCTGAAGGTCACTTGGGGGGGGGGGGGGGGGGGGGGGGGGGGGGGGGGGGGGGGGGGGGGGGGGGGGGGGGGGGGGGGGGGGGGGGGGGGGGGGGGGGGGGGGGGGGGGGGGGGGGGGGGGGGGGGGGGGGGGGGGGGGGGGGGGGGGGGGGGGGGGGGGGGGGGGGGGGGGGGGGGGGGGGGGGGGGGGGGGGGGGGGGGGGGGGGGGGGGGGGGGGGGGGGGGGGGGGGGGGGGGGGGGGGGGGGGGGGGGGGGGGGGGGGGGGGGGGGGGGGGGGGGGGGGGGGGGGGGGGGGGGGGGGGGGGGGGGGGGGGGGGGGGGGGGGGGGGGGGGGGGGGGGGGGGGGGGGGGGGGGGGGGGGGGGGGGGGGGGGGGGGGGGGGGGGGGGGGGGGGGGGGGGGGGGGGGGGGGGGGGGGGGGGGGGGGGGGGGGGGGGGGGGGGGGGGGGGGGGGGGGGGGGGGGGGGGGCGTGGGCGAAGCTGGGCTTGGACTGGGTCTGGAAAGGAGCGAGGCAGATACGAGGAGCGCAAGCTAAGGCTGGGCGGTTCTGCATGGAAGCTCTGGTGAGTAGATACATGTATAGGCTGTGATGG